GTGTTAAAATGGTCAAGCACCCTCGAGGCAGTTACACAGTGCCAACAACTGTCTCTGGATGTGAAAGCACCCGAAAGTGAATTATGTCCTCCGCAGCTGTCATTTAACAGCATTTCAGTACGGGAAGCCGACGTCGAGGCATGTGATGCAGCATGGCGTGGTGACTCAACACGTTCGTCCAAAGGCAAGGAAGATGTGGGATGATCCGTAACGGCATGGGCAGGGGGGTGTACTCATAGTTGTGCATGCCGTAGTCGTTAGACCGTTGACCTCGCATCCCTACAAAGCCGGGACGGAGCACGTACTTCGAGTTCTCACCGGACCAGGCTCTCACATCACCAAGCGCGAAGCGCCGTGNGTAACGGCATGGGCAGGGGGGTGTACTCATAGTTGTGCATGCCGTAGTCGTTAGACCGTTGACCTCGCATCCCTACAAAGCCGGGACGGAGCACGTACTTCGAGTTCTCACCGGACCAGGCTCTCACATCACCAAGCGCGAAGCGCCGTGAGATATTCGGCAAGTCGCATGAAGGGTCCACGGCATCCTGCAAAGGGTGTTCGGAATCTTGTGCTTACTTCCTCGCGTACGGATGACCGCTGCGTATGACTTAATTTATTATTAGGTGCTCTCACATCCAGACAGTTGTTAGCACTGTGTAACTGCCTCGAGGGTAATGACCATTTTAACATAAGGTGGTGCGATCATCCTCCTCGCGCGGAGTGTGGGGTCTCGACCCCGCTCAACGTGATCTACTCGACCACCATTACGGTCACCGCCAAAAAACAGAGGTAAAAAAAACGGGTAACCTGATTGCCGAGTTCACGAAATGAGTTGGCTTGTTTTACAACGTCGTTACCAAGCGACGAATTGACAAGGTTTCAAATCGGTGTACTTAGACCAAATTCCTACAAGCTGGGTTGACCTAGAAGTTGACAATTATTCGACACATTATAACTTTTGAACAACAAAGAATTTGAACGAGGTCAGCAGATTCTTCTTCTCCGCCAATCACAGCGGAGATGCCCTTGCAGGCTGATGGGCTGTTGGCGCCCTTTCCGCCAAACCAAGTTCAGCCTCCGCATGTTGATATGGGATCTTGAGTTGGAAATACATCGGGAAACGGCTCGTTTTTTGCGGCGAGAAATATATACACACACACGCGCGCGCGACTGGGAACAGAGTGACGTGACAGCGCGCATGCTGGTGCGAAGTGCTTGTCTCGCAGCCGCAGGCTACTGAAAGGAGCCCTGACGCCCACGTGGAGTTTTTCCAGAGAAGTCGCATGGCGCAGCGCCGATGATGGCGCTTTGAGCACCGCCGAACTTTTTCAGAACTTTTGTCACACACTTGGTGCAGCAACGTTTAGCAGTCGTTGCCCGTTGAATACGCGATCTTTCGCCTCACATCCTCACCACTTTTGTCCATACATGTGTACTGCACCCTCCCTTTTGAAGATACATCTGTTGGCACCCCTCGTTTCCTATATATTGTTCCCCCTGGAGCTAGGTCTTGAGGCGAACCAGGGATTCTGCATTTTACATGCGATTTGAACGAGTCAGGACCTGATTTCTTGGCACGTGATTTCTATGGCGATGACAAAGACATGCAAAATTGCACCTTTTGATATTTTTGTTGTTGTGTCATTTTGTTCCCAAACAAATGTATTCGCGATTCTGCTCTTGTTGGCCTACATAAAAAAAAGAAAATCAAATAGAAACACGTGCCAAAAAATCAGGTCTTTATTCGTAAAAAGCGCGTGGGAAATCGCATCCATCCATTTTATGTGTGTCTAGGTCAATCCAGCTTGTAGGGTGCATTTCAGTGCATCAGAATGATGTCAAGATTGGCGAAAGGGGCAGCTAGAGGTATGCTGAATTTTTCCGTCATCATTTGTCCACAAGCGATTGTTTATGTGATGACAAATATTGACGATGGCAGGTTTCTGAGCCGATGACTCTAACTGAAAAGATCATCGCGAAAGCGTGCGATCGGCAAAGCGTGGCACCGAACGACAACGTGTGGGTCAAAACGGACGTGTTGATGACTCACGACGTCTGCGGCCCGGGCACCATCGGGAACTTCTACAAAGAGTTTGGTCCCAAGGCCAAGGTGAACAGTGAGCACGGTGTTGAATGACTCGCCCTCTGATGCCTTGGAGGCTACTGTGCGATGGTAGACGAAGCTCTGCCGATACGTTTAGAGAGGGGGGGATTGGTCGATTGATTTGTTTCGAAAATTGTGAGGACTTCTTCTGGGGGCACAGGCGGGCTTTAAAACTACTTTGCGTTGTGTGCGTTGTTGTCAACATATGTGATGACCAAACCTGGCACGCTTGACGTTTCAAATTGTGGAGAAGGTTTGTCGTTTCGTCTCCCGGCTGAAATGAGATTGCATAACATTCATAAGAAATAAAAGTTCCCTCAGTCACTAGCTGTGAACAGTCCCGGCGAGAGCAATGTCGCAGTAGCCGGTCATGCCGATATCTAGGCGAACACTTTATTGAAGTTTGCTGAATTACCTACCCCCAAGATTGTTCGTTTTCTCTGTTTACTTTTCGCACGTGAGTTGGTGTGTGATTTGCGACAACCCACACACGCTGGTAGATCCATTCAGTGTTGCTTCTTTCGCTCGAGAGCGGCGATCGTGTCGTTTAGGTGTTTCCGAAGACAAAGTGTTCACAGCATGTGCGTGCTCCGCGCCCTGGGTGCAATATTGGCGGGTATGGCTCGTACTATGAACCGTCGGAAGTTGATCCCGGAGCATGCTGTCAGTTGACGCAGAGGGGCGCCGTAAAACTTCGGTATTGGCGCGATGCAGGACGAGGAAGTCATCATTTCCCTGTGGACCGCTCTTACAATGTGTGCGTGCGTCGCGTTGACCATTTTCTGGTGCAGGTGTGGGATCCAGAAGGCGTCGTCATAATCCCGGACCACTATATCTTCACTGCAGACCCCCGTGCAAATCGCAATGTTGACATCCTTCGGGACTTCGTCAACCAACAGGTTAGGAATATTTTTGGGTGTAAGAGATGCTAGTACCCTCTAATGAGCCCAATCACCGGGAAATGCTGGCAATTCCAAATGGCTGTTGGCACGTATATGGGCCACATGTTGCGTCTTTTGACCTGAATCGCACCTGTTCCAAGACGCATCTTTGGGCTCTCGCCAGCCCCAACACAGGCACTTGGTTCGTCCAGTAGTCCCATTGCCTTACAATATGGTGGCCGAGAGTAGTTCAGGTCCGATAACATCGAGACATGTACAGCATATTTGCCATCTTTCCTCTCGAACATTGATCCCGCTGCTGCGGCTGTGAGAGGTTGATAATGATAATTTTCTTGTTGGGAGAAATATGCCGATCGTTTTAGTGTAGCACGCTCGTCGGGATGTTCTGGTTGCAAGCGGGGTTCCGGAAGTCGAATTTCACCATGTTTTATTGAACCGTGAGGCTTCTGAAATCTGATGTGAGACAGCACTCCGAAACCATAAACAACAAATCTGTGAAACAAGAAGTCGGTCCATGCCGCAGTGTCCCAAATGTTCATTCGACGAAAGACTCGTCATGTTACTTCCACCTTGCACACTCACATTCAAAAGCTATGTTTTATCACGTATTGGATCACTCCAAACAGAATTTCGCACTTGTGTTGTGTGCCCATGTGCACCAGTAGCAGGCACACTGCACTATTTGCAAACGCATGTCGGAGCTGGAAGAGCGCGAGCTCAACCTCAAGATTGGAAGGATCCGCAACCTTTAGTTTTGCCCACACGAGGGTGCATCAATTTAATTCGCTCAAGCCTCGGCCTCAAGAGGAATCTTTGCCGCGCGGACCTTGCAGGTCCACTGCTGAGGCTCGACAGTGAACACATTTTGACCGCTTCAGGACTGCAGATTCAAAACCGTTTTTATTGTCGATGTTTTGAGCGGTCGGCCTTTCGAACGAGTACTACCAACTGACAGTTGTATCGCCTCAGAGATAGTTGCATACGCGATGAAGTTGTCTTGCAGATAATCCGTGATCTGTTTCGGAAGGGCTAGTGTGGAGTTGAACCCGAGATTGTCAAAATTGACAAAAGATTTGCACGAACTGCATGTGTCTCAGACACCTCTTGGACCAAGAAGCTGGCTATGGAAGAAATTGTGCGATATATGTGAATGATGCTCCACGAAACAACACAGAAAGGTGATCTGCATGCACGTTGATGACAGCAACTGTTTGTCAAGGACCGACCATGTGGTGCAGAGTCGTTCGTGAACTCGACTGTCCAATGGAAAAAGGCAACCGTTTGGGAGGGGCAAGGGTGCAACCTGTTTTATTGCAGCTCGCAGAGTTTTTTTTCAATCAAATAGCACGACTCCTTTCAATACCGTGTATCCGTAGTGTGGCTGCGTGTTGTAGACCACAAATTGTGGATACCGCCACATTTCTGGAGAACGCAACGTCACGTGCGACGAAGCTGTTTCTGAGGCTCGCGGCCCCGAGCGGAGTCTCAAGATGTGGGAGCATGGGCTTGAAGCGGAGTAGATGGAAACGACACTAAGCACTGGGGCAGCGGCTTTATATAGCCTGCAAAATTCGTACATGATAGGAATGTGTATGGCTTCCTTCACCGGGCGGAATGTGTTCCAATCCGAGTAGGATTGGTTTCTGGAACGAAACAAAAACTACCGCGATGTTTTGACCGCGGCCTATTTCCCTCAGCTCGCGAAGGCCACGAGCACGAGACCGTGGAGGTGCCTTCGCTCTCCCTATGCCTCGAAAAAGTGTCTACGGAATTTCGATCGAGGCGACATCGGTGCCAAACGCAAGCATTGTGTCGTTCTACTTTTATGTCTGCATTATTTCTTTGCCGCGTCCAATTTCCCCGCGCTCAACAAATGTACAACGACGAGGTTCACGGCACTGCCTCCGCTCACGCTTGTCCTCGCCAACGCAGCTACTGTTTCACCGCGCATCGCAGTCGAAGCAGCGGAAAAGTACAACCACCTCACGGACGCCCCCCGACTGGAGCTCAAATGCACGCGTGTATTTTCCACTTCGTTCTACGCAACCGAGCAAGATGCAACCCTATGTTAGCCACCGTTCTGAAGCCCGATGGGGATCCAGTTTCTGTCGCGGAATTTTAATCTACTGAAATATAACCCCACCAAAAAATGTCCCTACTCTCTTCATTTTCGCTTGGTTTTTAAGGGTAGATGATCTCCGGTCTGTTCCCTAGAAGCAAGTTGTTTTTCTTCCGTCGATGTTTCTCCACATTCCGTCGGGACATTTTCCGTGTGGGTTGCAAGAGGTGTTCCTCCTAGCCCGTTCCGCCCCTCCTGCGAGTTTGGTGTTACGCTTGGGTCAGGTTGTGAGAGCGCGTCCGTTGTTGTGTGTCTTATTCATAGATCTCCCCCGTGCGTGAACAGCCGAACCACGCCTCCCTTATCATTACCCCCAGTTTTGCCTCCACCGGTCGCAAGTACCGCCGCACCCACGACGGGAAGGGTGAACGTCCATGGTTGGTTCAGACTGACTGTGCTGATTGTGACCAGTCACCGTATCAGTCTCACCAACAACTGCATGTCGTGGCATGAAAGTCTCTTCTCAAAATTTCAGCACAACAGCATGTACGTGAACCCACAGGCACATTGAATTTTTCTCCTCTTGCCCCTAGTATACAGGCCACACGTCTCGCAAGAGGTCAACCTCATCAGGATGTGCACCAACCAGCTTGCAGAGCTACTGCTGTACTGCTGTAGGGAGGTTTCGCGAATTTGTTGTTGGTCTTCCAGACTGACAGGACCACAGAGTAGTCGGCGCACAGTGGCATCGAATCTCTTGTCAGGGCGTGTCTTCCCTGCACTTGTTTTCTGGACAGGATCTACGGTTGTACTACATGTATTTGTACGGCATACATTTGCAGGCAATTGCCAACCATGGGACTTGTATAGATGCGCAGTGCTAACTGTTGGACTTCTACAGATAGATACGCAATTCGACTGCCAACCATGATGAGTTCAGGGGTCATACGGGTTGGCTTCCCGTCTGTCTTGTCGGACACACCCAAGACAGCAGGGATCATGTACGCGTGACTTGTCGCCTTCGCGGCTCTCCTTTTCCTTTTCGCTTTGAGTCCGGTCATGGAGAGGAAACCTCCTGACAAAGCATTGCCGGCACGAAATCATGACATCCACCCCAGCAACGACCCACTTCTCTGCGTCAGGAACGCGCTCCGGCGGCAATCCTCTCCCTGACGATTCCGTTTTACCCTTGGGAGGTGGTACGCGTCAGGCCGGGCTAGCAGTCGGGGGGCAAGTCGTTCCGCAATGCGTACGAACGAAACCGCCTCTGCGGCGCCAATGCCCTCAACTTACCTCAGCAGAGGGCGAAAAAGAGAGCCAAGCACTCCAAAGAAGGATCTCACCGTGCCGGCGACGTCGTGCAAGACTCCACCACGACGACTGTTCAGCGCGCCACGAGGTGTATCTTGTGTGTCGATGTGCGTATATATGCATGTTTAGAGATGATATCGTCTGCTATACTGCTGTAGACCTATGGCCGGATTTCCTACGGGCTGAGGGCTCACGAGACTGCAGAAAGTGCGATCCTGATACTCTCGTGAGCGTAGAGCCCTTTTTTTGCGGTTTCTTTGCCCGTAGACGTCGCTCGAAGCGAAATTTGCACCTACCGATAGCCCTGCGTTGCGAAGGCTCTCCCTGCGTGCCGTGCGCCCTCGGGGCGGACTGTGTGCAGCGCTGGCGAGGGCAGAAAGTCGCGTCTCTGACATCTACCATATATCCAGCAATCACGCCCCGATTTCTTGACAGCGCAGGGCATTCATGCGTTCTGCAAGCGGCTGACGTCGTGCGTTTGCGCTGGCTACACGCAACACACCGGTATTATTTCACACGCCAACCAAGCCACCAAGTCTCCGCCTGACACGAGACACGATATTCTACTGCTGCTGTAGGGCGTCTCCCTGTCGATCCCGGCGAAATGCGGGGGCGGTGTCATCCGCACAGCTGTCCGCAAAACTACACCCGCCCGAGATCAAAGAGAAACGTGAAATACGTTGTTTGTTCCTCCGTTTCATGGGAGTAGTTTTTTTTGCGGAAAAATCTTCTGGCTACCTTAAGCCGTCTGGCAGAGCATTTAGCAATACCTTTGCTGCTGTGGGTTGCCATATTTTCATACCTCTGCAAGGTGTCTATTTTTCTCTGCTATTGCTTACACACAACGTGCTGCAAAAACTACCAATGGTATGCACTGCTTGATGGCCTCCCGTACTCACAACCCCGATTCTCACCGACGAGTGTACATCAGATGTCATCAGATCACATACGAAGACCACACACCCTGGAAGAAGTGAACGTTGTTCATCCACAACGTCTCGCTGAGGGGGTGGGTAGCACATGAGGGGAAAGAGACAGGGACAGAGACAGAGAGACAGAGAGAGACTGTTTGCTTGGTGTATCGTAGTTTTAATGTTCGGCACACTCTTCCCCTTCCCCCACGTAACCCCTCGTGTATGATGAATAGTAAATTGAGTACTTTAGGGGTCGCTCCTCTGTTTTCTTTGTGAGGTGTTACTTGTATCGTGTGGCCCAGGTTGTGCAATTAGTCTATGTTACGTAACCCTAGTTTCCTTTTTTTTCTTGGAATTTGAGGCTCTGTTTCTGAAACACACGTTCGTTACTCCCAGGAAATCAGTACAGTGTCTTCCGGCCGTCGAATAACATACGAGTTTATTCATTTTGCTTCTCTGCTCTTCGAACAAACAACTTTTCATTCATGTTCGCAATTTTTCTTGGTCGTATGGTCCGTTCGGGCAAACGTTCACAATATTTTCCCCTGCACAAAGGTGCACTTTTTTCGGGGTGGGGGCACATATTCCGAAATCTGAAAATACCGCGTAAATCGACGTTTCAAGGCGCATCTTCGTACGGAGGTTTTTTTTTTTTCGTCCTTCGCTCGACATGTTCAGATATTCAAGAAATCTTGCTTACTTTCTGGAGGGCG